TCTTGAACCAATCTCACATGAAGTAAGGCATTTGAATTTTCCTCTATCAAAAATCGGAAAAACTGAAGCTATAAATCTTTTTCCGTAAAAATCTTCTCACAATTTCTATGACTCAATTTTCTACTTTTTCATCTTGATTTTTTTTTTGTAGTTTTACGCACTTGTTTCACCAATGCTTCCTGAACTACAGTTCGTTCGACTGCACCTGATAAGCTGTCTGCGCTGCCATGGAATGACTTCTCGTCTCGGAACACCTGACTGTCAAGCCCTAAAAAAGGACGTTTGGAACTCAAAAAGAAAAATTACTCTAATTTGAATGAAACGTAAACACAAGGTGAACTTACTCGGCCGATAATCTTGTCTCTGCGGTATGACAAAAGGTTGCCGTACATAAACGGGTCTTCCAAAGACGTACACTTTAGATACAGGAGTGTTATTAGGAGGGAAGCTGTATTTTTGCACCTTAAATGGAATTTGTTAGAAAACATCCAACAATGGTATCTACGGATATATACAATAACAGATGCAGGGTCTTCCAAAAAATCCTTAGAAGGGATTGAAACCAGGGTCGTTTGCATATTTTTTACCTAATGGGGTTAACAGTGCATAAGGCCTGCACTTTATAGATTGGCGTTCATCAGCTTTGCTTCGAAAGCGTCATGTTTTTTACAGCTTACAAGGTACCATAGTAAATGGAAATAGCTCAAGTCGAATGCCTCTAGCTCCAATACAGTCATGGAACAAATCCTGTTGCTCCTCGATACTTTAGGATCACTGTAGGAACGCTCAGTGATGTTATTGTCAATGGACTACTTTTTTCAGAAAACTATTCAAGCAGATGAATTTGCGCATGTTGAAAGCAGTTCAGATGGTATGGTAAAATTTTGGTGACTGGACGACGTTACGGTATATCTGTCGTACACAGCAATGCTCATATCTATAACTTTCTTTACATTTTTCAAGTGAATTCTGGCCCAATCTTTTCGAATGCTTATCTTAATCCTGCACTGAAGAGTTAAAGGACTCTCTTCCAACTAAGTCTTTTCCC